ATAGCAGCACCGCTATCAATAATTGCTTGGTAAGGTCTGTTTCTAAGACGAATGTTACATTTAACAGGGGTAGTGTGAGAGGTAGGGAGAAGGTCAGTCTTTTTAGCTTCTTCATAAAGATAGGCTGATATAGCTATGCGGATAGAGGGTTGTCGAGAAAGTGTTCCCACTTGTTATTAGAAAAAACTGGGAAGGCTGAAGATAGAGTACTGTCATGACCAAAGTAGTTAATATCTCTATGATAAGGTGAGGAAGAGCGAAAACTAGTTCTTCTACTATTGTTATTATAAGAGTCTGAATATTTGCTTCTTTCTCAAGAATTTTCTCTAGAATTTCTTCTGTTTCGTGAAGAACTTCTATAAGAGCGATCACGGCTATGAAAACAAGATCTTCTACGTTCATCTCTTCTATAGTCATTTTTTCTGTAATCATCTCTTCTATAATTATCTCTTCTATCATCTCTTCGATCATCTCTAGATTTTTGCTCTGCTTATCTGGTCCTACATTTGGCTATAAGATGTCCAGTTCATCCACAATAATGACAATGACAAGGCTCTTGGTTCTGGGAAGTATTGGTGCTATAGATAGAAGCATAGTTGGTAGATTGAGCTTGAGGTGGCTGCTGTTGTTGGGCTAAGTTGATACTAAGCTTAGCAATCTGGTCTGTCAATTGTCTAATAGCTTGGTCTGTTTCAGATGCTGATTGATTAGCCATAATATGGTTTGTTTCCCATCATTTAGCGGTAACCATGGTAGCACCTTCATCAGCAGGCTCACTAGCTTGAACATTGATAGCAAGCTCAAGGCGTAATCCTTGAATAAAAAGCTGCTTGATAAATCCTACCAGAAAAGCATTTGTGGGATTAACTCTTTTCTTTAATGTTTTAAAATGGCTAATATAGGCGTCTAGAGTGTCTGGTCCTTGTTTAATCTCAAAAAATTGCTTTTGCCAAAGAGCTTTCTGCTTGGTGATGTGGAAGTGAGTTCGAAAAAGATGCTTAAAACTTTGGCCAGCATTACCAGGATCATCAAAAGCATTAGGTGCAGGATTAAGGCTCCAGTACCAATCAATAGCAACTCCTTTAAGGTAAACTGGTACAAGCTCAAGTCCTCGTGCAGCTGTCTACTTATTAGCAATGCCAGCTCGACGAAATTCATCAAACTATTCTTCTGGGTCTTGGAATCCATCTCCTAAAAAGAAACTAACTAGTAAAAGAGTCTTTTCACTGCCTTGCCCTAATGCAGTTGTAAGAGCAGTCATAGTATTGGCTGTCTGAGTTAAAGCTTGGTTAGGGCCTGGGACTTGCTGTTGTTGCTATTGCGGTTGTGGCTGCGGTTGCTGTTGCTGTTGCTGCTGTTGTAGCTGATTTATGATTAATATAGGGGGAGGTGAAGCTGGGGGGTGTAGTGAGAGTTAGGATTATCCTGAGGGTTCTGAGGGTTCTAAATCTTCGATATTTTCTAGGGGCTCTTCAACAGGAGGAAGTAAGTCTTGTTGGGGTAAATCTAACTGAGGAAACTCTGGCAGAGAATAGTAAGAACTTGAAATATTATCTGGAAACTCAGTAGCTTCTAAAGATGTGGTTGTATAATCTTCTACGTCG